TTTTGAAGCAGGGTCTCCCTGTAGCTCCAGCTGTCCTGGAACTCACTATGTAGACCAGGCTGGCCTTGAACTCACAGAGATCCACCTGCCTCTGCCTCCCAAGTGCTGGGACTACAGGCGTGTGCCACTACGCCTGGCTAATTTTTCCAGCTCTTTGTATATCCTCAATACTAATCCTCTCTCAGACGTATAGCTGATAAAGATTTTTTTCCCATTCCGTAGTTTCCACCATGCCTGGCCATTGCCCCTGTTCTTGGTTACCCAGCAGAACTTGAAGATACTACATACATGAGTTGTAGAACAAACAAGGAGAAATCAAGTTGGTACTGACTTCAAAGCTTCATCTCTACTGGCTAGCTTTCATAGTGCTGGAAGGTGCTATGCATAAACTGAATGAGAAAAGTAATCATCAACCTTGCCAGACTGTGAATCCTGCAACAACTGACCTAGCAAGACATTCCCACTAGTGCATTAGTGGCACAAATGTCACCAGAGTAATCAACTACTTTCTGATTGGATTTAAGGTCTGCTTCACAAGTCAGAGCCCATACCTGACACTGATATCAGATCTAGGAACCTTTGGTTAAGCAGGTTATAGACCACAGGGGAGAACCTACTATTATTCTGCTAAATGGACAAAGGATTAAACTGACTCCTGTTTATTGCTATACCCATAGATTAAGGCATCTTTCAACTCTTACTAGAGAAGCCTCCTCATGCAGCAGATGATTAACAGACTCAAAATATGTCAACATACAGAGAATAGACTTCAGAGTGCTTAGCTCTGAATAGGACATCTATATCAAACTCTGTCCCAAGGCTCAGGGATCACTGTGGAAGGGGTGGAGGCAAAAAGATAAGAACCAGAGGTAGTGGATGATCACAAGGAAATAGGGTTTTCCAGACAGCAGGGTAATTACTCATATGAATTTACAGTGCTTGTGACAGCATGCACAAGACCTAAGTAAGCTTGAGATGGACAAAATTCCCAGCATAGAGGGAGGAGGTGAGTAAGAAGTCCTAACCCTAGCTTAGAATCTATTGACAACTGATAGCTGCTAGGAGAGGAAAAGCAAGCGTTTTTAAGGCTGTGGCAGTTGGGTAGGTTAACCAGGCTCCAACGGATGGACCCATACTGAAGGGCATTTACAGACACAAATTAGAATCAATAAGTTTAAATATATATATGGGACTGGAGAGATGTCTCAGTGGTTAAGAGCACCGGCTGCTCTTGCAGAGGACCTGGGTTCAATTCCCAGCACCCACATCACAGTTAACAACTGTCGTAACTCTAGTTCCAGGGGAATCCAATGCCTTCTTCTGACCTCTGTGGGCATTGCATGGCATGGGTGCATTTACACACATATAGGCAATACATACACATAAAATAAAAATATTAAAATATGTATAATATAGTAGAAAATGGATATGGGGCAGTAAGGGGGTTGCAGATAGAGGAGGTTTGAATATGCTAAAAATATACTGGATTAGTCACTTTTCTGTTGCTGTGGTAAAACACCATCACCAAGGGAACTTACAGAAGGAAGAGTTTATTTGAGCTTATGGTTCCATATTCCAGAGGGATTAGAGTCCGTCACGGCAGAGAGGCATGGTGAGGTGGTCGGAGCAGAAGCAGAAGCTAAGTGCCCACATCTTCAAGCAGGCACAGAAAGCAGAAAGCTCCTGGGATCTGCCAAGGCTTAAGAACTATCAAATCCTGCCTCCCAGTGACGTGCCTCCTCCAGCAAGGCCACACTTTCTAAGACCTCCAAAAACAGTGCCACCAACTGTGGACAAAATGTCCAAATACTTAGACCCTGTGGGAGACATTTTCCTTCAAACCACCATATATTGTGTAAAATCCTCAAAAAGTCAATGAAAAAGGAAAAACCATTTAACCATTTAAACCATTTAACCATTTAAAAGATGGTTCAGTAGTTAACAGCACCTGCTGCTCTTGTAGAGGACCTGAGTTTGGTTCCCAATACCTCTGTCAGGTGGCTCACAACCACCTGTAACTCCAGCTCCAAGCACCTGCACTCATGTACAAACCCACACACAGACACACACACATGTACATGTAATTAAAAATAAAATTTTAAAAATATTAGGAAGATTATTCATAATAGATAGAAAGAGAAAATAGCCATATCACTAAGGGCTAGGTAAAAAGGAAGGTTTATTCAGATATTTAAATATAGTGAAGAAATCATTGTCACACAATCAATCAATCAGCTTCACAGTACTAAGAGAATGAAGCCATGTACAAAGGATATTTGGTATACATAAAAAACAAAACAAAGCCAGGTGTGGTGGCACACGCCTTTAATCCCAGCACAGAGACAGGCGGATCTCTGTGAGCTCAAGGCCAGCCTGGTCTACGTAGTGAGTTCCAGACAGCTGGGACTACAGAGAGACCCTGTCTCAAAAAGACCAAAAAAAAAAACCTAACAAAAAAGCAGACAAAATTAAGATTACAGGTCAGCAGTCAAGGGCTAATCACTGGAAAAAGATGTAAAGGAGGCTTTTGTGATATATTTCTATTTTTTGATTTGGGGTGATTATAGACACTAAAAAATTCATTAAGCTTAAATTTATGGGTTTTTCTGTACATATTCTGTAACAAAATGTTCGCAGAGTTTTAAGGATGATTTATCTATATGGTGAGAATGTAGCTGGACAACAGGCGATAGGGACCACACCAAACTGATAAGTGATGGTGCACACCTGAAATCCCAGGACTCAGGAGGCTGAGGCCAAGGCCATGGCTATGCACTGAGACCTTCATGTAAAAAAAATCGTAAAAGAAATAACTGTAGTTATACTGTTTAAATATAAGAACTGTCTAAGGGAACGGAGTGAACCGGCTGGCTGTGTGTTTCAGTTTTCTGCACTTACATTCCTTCAGAAGTGACATGCGTATGACATGCTTATAGAGGTCAAAACATTGTGATTTTTCACAAAGGAAAAACTCAAGTTTAAGAAAAGGTAAATTATCAATCTTAAAATCTGATAGAACAAGATTCACAGTTTCTAAATGCAAGCTGAGGTTTTAAAAAATTAGTTTAAAAACTTCTATAAGGAAATAGCATCTGCTATAGTATCTCCACAGTTTTAAGGCAGATGCTAATCACTGGAGAAAGAGGCAGAGGCCAACTACATACATCTTATTCATTAGGTGAAAAGTAGAAATTTAGGGTACAGACTAACACATGTGGTTTATGGATGCTACCCATAAAAGTTCTTCAGTTTATTCTTATTTTGATTTATTGTCCAGATTAAACTACCATTTCTCAGCGTAATCTATGGAACACGTTTGTATTAACTATGTAGAGAACAGCAGCAGAGTTAACCATGTTCAGGAAACACTGGTTTTATTGTCAGTCCTCAGAAAACCATCATCGTGTTAAAATAAACCAGATTCTCCTCAAAGTCTTTCCTCTGTGCTTCAAATGGCAAGGCACTTTATTATTAGATAACAAAAGGAAGGAAAAGAAATCAAGCAGAAAGAATTAGGAGGCAGTCAAGAGAATTTCTACTAGCAGTATAGTACCTACAGTAAGCTAGAAGTCTGAAAACTTGCACACCCCCTGCCTTAATGCCTTTCCCAGAGCTTCTCTTTTAAGGTCTTCCTGGCTAGTTGGCAGCATTTGTGAGGTACAGAGATTTTGTCAGGCTTTTCTAAGAAAGAAATGTACACTAAAAAACACATTTAGTCAAGCCATGATTGCACACAGCTTTGATCCCCGTACATGGGAAGCAGAGACGAGCAGATCTCTATGATGCCAGTGTGGTCTTTATAGTGAATTTCAGGCCAGCCAGGGCCACATAGTGAGACCTTGTCTAAATAAATTAAGATTAAAATAAAGCACACTTAATAAATCTTTTTAAAAAGATCATTTGGGTGCTAAGAGTACTTTCTGAATGTGAATTAGTGTTTGTGTTTTCAAGTCAAGATGAATTATGTTTGAGCTACTCAGCATTTAGATACCAGAATAAAAAAGGACAAGCAAAGCTTGTATAAGTTATCCATTATTTTTTAATCTGAACAGAAAATAAGTATACAAGTTTGCTAAGGAGACATGATAAAAATTGAATGTTACATATTATGGAATCAGTACATCAAGTTTATTTTGGTAGCCAGTGATTCTTAGTTAATTCTGCAAAAAACAAAACTAGTTATGCAGAAATAAGAATATAAAATGCCCTTTCTGAACCCAGTTTGATAAAACTGATTTCACATCTAGCTTATTGATTATCTTCAGTTTCAATTCTCCTTGTGCAAATAATACATGTGGTCATTAATGGTGATATGGCGAGTCAAGTTTCTCTCTTAACATAATAATCCAAATATAAAGTTATATAAGATTCAGAGACAAACCAGTGCCTAGGAAACAAAATTCACCCATGTGCATGATAATTTTTTGCATTTTAAAAACATAAAATCACAATCAACGACAGTGATGGCACTGTCACAAACAGTGCTTTATTTCATGTAGTGCATTCCTATGGCTCATCTGGAGTTCAAAAGCACACAGCCACACTTCTGACAAACGGGCTTCCAACAGATCTGTCCAATTCTCTTCACAAAAATCTAAAATTCTCATAAGATCTTGAGTTCAACACAGAAGGACTGTGCTTGAATATCTCAAATACTGGGAAGATTGGGAGTGACATGTAGTAACTGGTCACCGTAAGTGGGACTGCTCCCACAGTCTTACACCACAAAGAACCTTTGAAACAACACAGCAGACTGAGGGGCATGCTCATTATGTAGCTAAAGAAAATCCAAGTGGCTCTCCTGGTGTCAAATGTACCTCAAGGCAGGTATGAGGAATGAGTATAAGTATGGCAGCTAAAGAACTCTGCCACTGTATAATAAAAGGAATTCTGCGATGATATCATACATTTTAATAATATATTGTGATTGGTTTGGTTCCCACTACCATGGGGCACAAGGAAATGAAACTCAAGACTATTTTGCTAGAAGATAGGTAATGACCCCAGTTTTAAATAGGGTTCCTCATTAAAGGAAAAGATAGAGCCATAAAAGTCAAATTAGCTGACTTCAAATGGTTTACATCCCAGGATGAATCAGATTATACTGATTTAAGCCCAATTTAATTCAGGCAGGTTTTTAACCACAAGAATAAGGACATTCTTAGTACAAATTAATAATTAAACCAACATATACACAATTAGCAATATCCTATATAATATTAAATGTTTTAACAAGTTTCAATTATTCTATATCTAGTCAATTTGTTGCTTTGTTTTTTTTTTTTTTAAAAAAAACAAGCTTAACATTATTTTACAATGCACTTTGTATCTCTGAAGGTATTTTGTAGTTTTGTTACATCACAGCAAGTACAAGTCTCTGGATTTCTCTAAGATCCGAACTCAACTGTATCTTCTGTGATCTTTTTGAATTCATAATTGCCTCTGCCATCCATATGCAGGTAGTACTGTGGGAAAGAAGGGAAATCAAAACTAAGAACAATTACAGAACTTTCCTTTATGAGAACTAAAATGCAGACTTTTGCATTCTTCTTAAGGAACCAAATCCATAAGCAACCCACATTAGAATGCTTCTGTAGACTGAGGATCAAGGATCTGAGTTACTAGAAGGGTAACTTGTGCTAGATTCAGAGCTGCTCAGTACAGCAAAATTTATTACTTCTTTTTTAGCTGATTTCCCACGTCAGCAAAGAATCTACTTAAAATGTTTTTGCATTTGGATTTAGTAGAGAAAGGGGGCTACCATGTGCTTATATAACCTGCCTTCTGAAGAACAGGGGCTACAGAGTCTTCTGTTTTAATTAGTGACTTTTTATACAGAAAGGTTATATTTTATTTTATTTATGTGTATGGCTGTAATGCCTGCATGTAGATAGGTGCATCCATGCCGTGCAATGCCCACAAGTCAGAAGATGGTGTCAGATTGCCTGGAACTAGAGTTATAGATGGTTGTCAATCACCATGTGGGTGCTGAGAATTGAACCCAGGTCCTCTGCAAGGGCAGTCAGTGCTCTTAACCACTGAGCAGTCTCTCCAGCACTCAATTAATTTTTTAAAATATTTTATTTTATGTGTAAGAGTGTATTGCTTGCCTGTGTGTAAATGCGCCCATGTTGTGCAATGCCCAGGGAGGTCAGAAGAGGGCGTCAGATCCCCTGGAACTGGAGTTATGGACAGTTGTTAGCCACCACGTGGGTATTGGGAACTGAACCTGGGTCCTCTTTAAGAGTAGTCAGTGTTCTTAGCCGCTGAGTCATCGCTCCAGCCTTAATTTACTTTTTGTACTGCTGTTTCTTAACTATTTTTTGTGTTCCCTTCCTTCACATATCACTGCCCTGGTTATTTTGTGGTTTCTTTAAACCTTCTAAAGAAAAGGGGCATGGGAAGACTGGGGATGTAGTTCAGTGGTAGAGCTCTTGCCTAACAAATCCAAGGCCTGGAGTGAGATCCCAGCATAGGGAGGAAGGGAGAAAAAGGAAGAAGGGAAAGAGGGAAGATAAAGAGGAGAGAGGAAGGAGAAAGAAATCTTGTGCTGTCCACTGCCCTGCCACCTTAAAGACATCATTGGGGCCCCATTCTGCATCAATGCAAACCTTTCAATACTGTAAATAATAGTGACTAAGAATCCTATTGCATGACAATATAATGACAACATAGCTGACATTATTCGATTTCTCCCTTACAGTCCTGGCTTCTACTAAAAATGCTTCTAAATTTTTTTTTTTTTTTTTTGTCTTTTTGACACAGGGTCTCCCTGTAGCCCCAGATGTCCTGGAACTCACTATGTAGACCAGGCTGGCCTTGAACTCACAGAGATCCGCCTGCCTCTGCCTCCTGAGTGCTGGGATTAAAGGCATGCGCCACCACACCCGGCTCCTAAAATTTTTGCCATCTAATTCTTAAGACTTTTTCTTTGCTGCCAAACCTGAATAAGAAAAAACTCACCCAAATTTGTGATGACTATGCAAACTACAGCCAATTTTACAATTGCATTTATAAAACTAGAGAACTACCAACTAGTTCTCCAATCTCATGTATAGCTAGAAATTGTTTATATACATTATGGCTTTCAAAATTACAGCTACAGTAATATTGAACAAAGTCCGACAGTATGTTATAAAACTCAAAATCACCCTTTTCCACTAAGGTGTATGCTTTTAAGATAATACACATTATGAAATCTAAAAACATATTCATCAAAATTCACATATGTATAAGATAAATGTTCACTATCCACACATTGCAAGAAATACAAACCTCATGGTGTTTCCAAAGGGATTTTCTGTGTGAAACAGTGAAGAGGGTGATGCCAACCTGATTCAAATAAAGGGTTTAAGTTTATATCAGTAACAACAAGCCACAAATTAAACACGTTCTAAGTTAAGATACTGTCTGTCTTCACTGGTTATAGTTAAAAATTAATGTAAAATATATCTGTTGGCATCCTTCCTACTTATGAAAAATATAAAAATAGCAAAAGGTTAACATCAGAAAAAGTAAGTCAGCATAAACTGTCTATTGTCAATTTGCTTCTCAATGCAGGGTCATAATCCCCTATTTTGGACTGTGTCTGGGTATTCAGATTTAGGAAAGCATTATTTTCATGACCCAGAAGGTTCAGATGCAGAATTCTGTAATTATGCTTGTTTCCGTACATGTACAGATACTTACATTAAGTAGTGATACAAAGAGTTTAAATTATGTGATGATCTTGCTATAAAATTATGAAAAATGTTTCAGTCTTACTCCAGTTTTCTCGATTTTAAATTGCAAGTAAGGATTAGTAGTCTGTACTTGGGATTTTCAGGAAAACATTAAAAGATGCAACTATAGTTGTTCTGGATCGTGGATCTCAACTAAGGGATGATTTTTGTCACTGGTGGACCTTTTGATAATGTCTGGAGACTTTTTTTTTGTACACTGAGAACACTATTGCCACCTAGTGGGTAGAGGCCAGAAATGCTGCTAAACATAATACAGTGTCAGAAGAGCCCCTACACTGTATCATGTTTAGCAGGATTTCTGGGCATTAGTTACCCAGTCAACCTTGCTGAGGGTGATGCTGCTCTAGATCAGCTCCTAGAGGATCTCTCAAGGCTGACAGAGACATATTTCTGGAAATGGATTAAATTTCCACCATTGTTTCTAAATTTTATTTTCATTTTGAGGGTAATTTTAAAGATTAAGCAAATTCTGGATCATTTCTACAATGAAGTTTTAGTATCCAGGTTTGTGTTTACACTTCTGCTGGCACCAAGTGGCATCAATTAAAGCTTGTGTCATAAGCCTTGTGAAAATTAGGAACTGCACAAAGTAAGCACATTATCAACACTATTAAAACATACACTTTGGCCAGGCATGGGGGTGCACACCTTTAATCCCAGCACTCTGGAGGCAGAGGCAGGCCTGTATGAATGCAAGGCCAGACTGGTGTACACAGTGAATTCCAGCTCAGCCAGGGATACACAGTGAGACTCTGCCTCAAAAAACCAACAGACAAACAAACAAAACAATCATATATTTCAACATTTAATTTTTGAAAGTCATTTAGATACTATTTTTCTGTTCATGATTCTATAATTGGATTAACTCTCTGGAGTATGGATACTTTATATTAGAAATACTGACTTCAAAAGGCACCAGGTGCTCCCTTCCATCTTTAATCTTATACCCATGGCTTAGTTTCAGCAAAGCAGCATCATTGGTCTCTTTAATGCTACAAATTCTGAATTGTGTTTAAGTGTTGTTTGTATTTAGTTTGTAAATTTACATTGGCTTTTGTAGTTATAAAAAAGTTCTACATCTGGCAAGTTATTAAAAAAGTCTGATGGCAGAGGCTGGAAAGATGACTCAGCAGTTAAGGGCAGTGGCTGCTCTTGCAGAGGACCTAGGTTCGATTCTCAGCACCCACATGGCAGCTAACAACCTTCTGTAACTCTAGTTCCAGGGGATCTGATGCCCTCTTCTGAACTCTGAGGGCACTGCACAACATAGGTACACTTACATACATGCAGACAATGCACTCATACACATAAAATAAATAAAATATTTTTAAAAAGTGTTCTATGGCTCAGTGAGTAAAGATGCTTGGCACCAAGCCTGACAAACTGAGTTTGATCCTCGGAACCAACAAATGAGAGAATTATCTCCTAAAAGCTGTCTTCTGACTTCCCCATGTATGCTGTGGCATGCATGCGCCACCCCCAAATATTCTTGTGTACACACACACACACAGACACACAAATTTTAAAAGAAAAAGTTTTAAGCGTCAAGGTCTCTCACTTCACTTTGTTTGTTCATACTAAGTGCTAATGCGGCAATGTCCTTTAAACTATCACTGAAACCCCAAGCAACTCTTTTCCCCTCAAATGGAATGTGCTTTACAGAACTTATGCAATCTTATGTGGAAACTTATAATGTACAGTTAAAACCAACAGAGTCAGAACTGCCAGTAAAAATCCTTTAAGTCAAATACAGTCTATATGGTATTATGTGTGAAAATACCACAAATATTTCTAATACCTATAAAACTGAAAAACACATATGGACAAGTGCATAAAATTTTTAACTTACCAAAACTGATTCAAGAATAAAAAATAAGCCATTAACAAAATACAGTCAATAGTTAAAATCTTCCTACAGAGAAGACTGTCACAAATTTATCCTTTCATCATTACACCACACATCTCTCCATGTACATTCAAATCACCTGGGAATTTTGTTAATAAGCAGACTACTTTAGCAAAATGGAGATTCTGCATTTCTAACAAATTTGCAGACACTGCTGACACTGCTAATCATTTTCTTACACATAAACCCAAAAACAGGATGTTCTGTTGTAGCTCTCAAACGTAACAAGAGTATAGATGGTTGCAGCAAACCATCCATGTGAGACTAGTGAATAGTTACTTCAGTAATGGCAGCACAGCCAGCCTCACATTTGTCCACTAAAAGAAATTTGTTATCATACTATCCAGGTAAAATAAACTAGATAAAGAAAAAACTGCCAAATGAGGGGCTGGGGAGATGGCTCAGTGGATAAAGCATTTGCTATACAAGCCTAAGGACTGGAGTTTGGATCCCCAGCAGGCATGCAAAAGCCAGGTGGGATTGCTGGCCCATCTGTAATTCCAGTGCTCATGATGCAGAAACACGGGATCCCCAGGGAAAGTGGTATGGCTAAACTAGTTGAATCAACAAGCTCCAGGTTCAGCAAGAAACCAACTGTGCCTCAGTAAAAACAGTGTGACTGAGGATATCTAACATCAACCTCTGGCCTACACATGCAAATGTGCTACCCCCACACATGCATTCCCACATACACAAACATATTTCCACATATGCATACATACTACACACAGATATACATACACAAATCAGATAATTAAAAAATTTTAAATTATCAAATGATTACTAGTGGGTTTCTTGATTTTTAAAAACAGTATATAGGTTAATTAATGGGACAAACCAAGAAAAGTTCAGTTATTAACTCTGAGTGTAAGAAACAGGGTAAAAGAAAACAGATTTAAACACGGTCTCATGCCTAAGAAACTGCTTAAGAGAGTTCTACAGAGAATGCATTTACAGTTCCTTGTATTCTGTTCATATCTATTAATTACTAGTTTAAAAATCTTTATTAATGCAAGGTCTCATCTGTCCTAGCAATTTTTTTACTTGACATTTTCTTTGTACAGATATGAGGTTGGATATGGTAGAGGGACAGACTCAGCAATGGAACCTGCACACCTACCTTCCGACAGTGACTGTAAATGTAGTCCTCCACATCCACACTAACTGCACTTGTGCACTCATCCAAAATGGCAAACTGTGGCTTATGATAAAACAATCTTGCCATCTGAAGCATGAAAAGAAATATGTCTAAACATATGCAGGCCTAAAAACAAAGCTAATAAGCAAAGATAAATCAACTTTAGTTAAGCACGCATCTTGTAGCCTTACAAAGCTGAAGTGTGAAAATTATTCTAACTCAAAGGCATCCTTCCCAGAAATGGAAACACTATAAATAAAATTGTTTTTACTGTCATCTTAAACAAAGGGGAAAATATAGTACATGGGAAATATGTGAGATGGGGTTGAGCTTTAAAATAATAAAAGTTCCCCTAGACAAACAAGTTTTGTATTTTAACCAAATCTTAAAATTCAGATTATAAATGGCTCAAATGCAAAAGGTTCTCTAAACACTTTGTTACTGAAGTAATGGTACCAATTAGTGCTCTGACCAAAAATCTATTAGAACATAGGCCATGTCTCTGTTGTTAGTATTGGGTTTGCTCATTTTTTAAAGCCTTTACTAATCTTATAAATGAAAATCAGGATTGCTACAGCTTACATTTTTTTCACTATCAGGAATGTGAACATTTTTTGTACTTCTATTCCATGTATATTCTATTTTCTGCAAACAATTTACTTTTGTCCTTTGACAGACACCCGTTAGTAATCTGCCCCCAACAGTGATCTCCATGTTGCAAAACCAATGGGCATGTTCCTAACCCTAATCAACTTTCCTTCTGTGAAACATTCTATTCAACCCACTCTGTCCTTAAGAAAGTGGCCCCTCCCGCTTTCTCTTCCCTTTCTAGTACTTTTCTCTTCCACTTGGCTATCAAATGTGGGATTCCTCAGGACTAATGTTAGATCCTTTCTTTTTCCTCAGAGTGAAATGCTGAATCTTCCTTGAGCCTTCTCTCACCCTCCTCCCTCTCATCCTCCCTCCTTTCGAGGCTTTGGAGTTTAAAGTCCAATCACTTTTCCTCATTTCCACCACCTTGCCCTAATTCCAGAGCACACCATCTGCCTGGTTGGCCCAACAATAACCTCAGGCTTCCTCTTTGATTTTTTCCACTCGCCATGTGACCAGGGAGACGGTCACAAATGTAAATCAGAGAACCCACTCTGGCTTAAGAGTCCGTCAACGGCTTCCCACTTCACACCTCCAAGATCTTGCACAATCTTCCTTCTATTTATGCTCTGACCTCACTATTCCAGCCAGCATGGCCTCCTCCCAACCTCAACCATCAGGAGCAAAGTGTCCTTTTCCCTTCCTTTTTTTCTGTTCTTTTTGAGAACGAGGTCTTATCCTGGCTTTGGCTGGTTAGAACTCACTATGTGGACAATGCTAGCCTTGAACATGTGATAATTCTCCTGCCTCTGTCTCTTGAGATCTTTTAAATTCCTCCTTAGGTCACTTTCTCAATCCAAGTGGGTCCTTTATGGAATTGTAGCAGTCTGTACATGGCCAATTGAACATGTTTTTCTTTGTCTACTTGTCAAAGTTGTAAGATTCACCAAAGGAGAGACCATTATTTAACCACTACAGTATATCCAACACCTACATGGTTGTACCTTCAAATATTGAGCATGTGAATGACTACAACAAACAGCTTCTTGAGCTTTCACCTATTTGCTTGAGGAGAGGAAGGGGAAGAAACAAGCATTTCCATCAAGAAATGAAAGGTACAGAATGAATAGGGCCTTTGCTACGGTAGGGCTGGCTCTTTAGATCAGAGACCTGAGAATCTTCCTAAAAGAGAAGGACCAAAAGAAATTAAGTATACATGGAGGTGGAGAGAGGGTGTAAAACTAATGATAGTGTGATAAAGTCAGAAGAAAGAGGGTCCCTGAAAGCAGATGAAAGAAGCCTTTCTCAGAAGTATATGCCATACCCTGTGTAGGCAACAGGAGCAGGGAAGGCAGGACAGACCAGGGCAAGGCCAATTAGGATAGTTCTCTGAAAGCTTTCACAAATGCCTCTCTATGCTCCAGGAATTCTGTACACCTCAACCACCATGCTTGTGTGTAACTTTTCTCACGCGTGTGTGCATGCATGTGTGTGTGTGTGTGTCGGTGTCCCTCTATGCATTCAGCTACTTGACTCACAAAACAAGAAAGTTGTAATGTAAGCATTCAAGCAAACACGTCACCTTTTCACCAGTTTTAACATTAGCTTAAAGTGTGTTTTCCTCTGTGAAATGGGACATTCATAGTGCTTATCTCACAGATTGTTGTAAAGATGTAATGGGTTAGTTTTGTAACACACTTGGATACTATCATCCACTAAAGCACTCAAAACCTAGCTGTCACTGAACTAGCAGCCCCTCTTTTCTATAGTACAAGATGAGTCACTCTGCTAACAGGCAAAGTGCTAGGTAGAAAACTGGAGACTGGGGCTGGGGAGTTGGCTCGAGGTTAATAAATTTTTCAGAGTTCCAAATTTACACAAAGTTAAACATTTCCTAGTGCTTTAATTACAATTTAAATTAATACTACAGTAATTGCTGAATAAAAGATAAAACTGTGTACTGATTAATGAAAATTCTGGACTTAAGAAAGACTTTAAGTCAGCATTTGATGCAGTTCTACAGAGGATACTGACCGCCATTCTTTGTTTTTCTCCTCCACTGAGGACATCCATCCAGTCCTGAACACTGTCCCAGCCTCCTTCTCGTTCAAGGATATGACCCAACTGCACATTATCCACGTACTCCTTCAGTACCTTTAAGCAAAGATGAAAAGAAAAAAGCTTATTAGGTCCTAATATCATATCTTACTTTGTTTTTTAAACTAGAGTCTCAATAATTCCACTGCCAATACCACTTAAAGATATGCTCTTCAAGAAAGAATATGGCACAAAGTAACCCTGAACTTCGCAGTTGCCACCTATACTAAGCTTAAAAAAATGCATCTAGGGGCTTCAAGAGCAGAACACTATCATGTGTAGTCAAAGGATGAGGACAATGTGAAAACAACAGTCAAAGGTAATTAAAACATGCAACGAGTCATACAACTAAGCAGCTGCCTTCTTCCTGCAATTCAGAGAGCTGCAATGATTTGAAAGCTTTTACAGATCAGGTCAAACAATCTGGCATTTAAATAATTAGCTGACTCAGATGAAGAATCTGGAGTGGAGCATACTCGGCACATCTAGGCTATAAACACCCCTTACTTGGTCAGATATACCCTTCTTCTTCTGATCGTCTCTTCCATCTGGATAGATCACTTGGTCTCGAAGTGTTCCAAGGGTCATATAGGGTCTCTGACAGTGGCATAGCAACAGTTATTTAAGTACATTTATAAAAATAAAAAGATCTTTAAGATTACATACTAATTCAAACAAAGTCTCACCTGAGGGACATAAAATAACTTTCCTCTCTCAGGTTTAGTTAGCCGTCCTCCAAAAAGAGGCCATAACTGCAAAGAAAAGGAGAGAGTCGACTGTGAAATTCACAATCTAACAGTATCACAAAATAACACTGTAAAGTTTGGGGACCAGTATGTGCATACTTCACCAAGAACACGGAAAAGTGAACTCTTTCCACAGCCATTTGGACCGCAAATTAGAACATTGGCCCCAGATCGAACCTGAAAGAAAATTAGGCATTAAAATAATTAAATCAAGTGAATATTTATACAGAATATTTCCTTAGAGTCAAATAGCTCTTTTCTAATTGTAAGCTTCTCATTTTACCTGAAAATGTGGTGTTAGGTACAGCTGCAGGGGGATATGATAAGAGAATTTTTATTTTTGCTTACTTTCAATTTTACTGTTCCATTCTTTTACTTAAAATCATTGATTTTTACAGTTCAATGTAATCTCTTATCTATTTTTACTTTATGTGTATGAGTGTTTTGCCTGCATGAATATTAAATGCACCCATGTTGTGCAATGCCTGTGGAGGGCAGAAGAAGCTGCCAGATTCTTGAATCTGGAGTTTCAGACCTTAGTTAGCAGCCATATAGGTGCAGGGAACTGAACCTGGATCTTGAGCAAAAGCAGTCAGTGCTCTTAATCACTGAGCCATCTCTGCAATACCATGTTCAAATGTGAAATATTAAAAAACATGAGAATTATTGAAAGCAAAAATTATGTGTATCACTAGGCGTGGTGGTGCACGCCTGTAGTCCCAGCACTTGGAAGGCAGAGGCAGGTGGATCTCTGTGAGTTCAAGACCAGCCTGGTCTATAAAGTGAGGTCCAGGACAGCTGCGGCTACAGGAAGACCCTGTCTCAAAAAGACAAAAAAAAAAAAAAAATTATGTGTATCTATGTTTACGAACATATTTTTAAAAGCTGAACTGCAGAGTAGATTGTTTTACACAGTAGTCTGTACACACTTAACAATGTGTCACAGACATCCTTCCAGGCCATTGTATTTTCTGTCATTCTTTCAATGCCTGCAATACATGGCAAGTATACCATAATTTAGCTAAACATCCCTAATGGTTAGTTAGGTCATCTTTTCTTCTCTCCTTTAGATAATACTACAGCAAATTTCTACCACCTTAGCAAGTCAACTTATGAGAAATGTCTCTATCAATTACATTCTTAAAAAAGGAAAGTGCTCTACTATCCTCAGGCCTCTTGGGAAATCAATCTTTGGCTGGAGAGATGGCTCAGCAGTCAAGAGCACTGGTTGTTCTTCAGAGGACCCAAGTTTGAATCCCAGCACCTACATGGCGGCTAACAACTGTCTGTAACTCCAGTTCCAGGGGATCCAATGCCCTCTTACATACATGCAGGCATAATACTCATATACGTAAAATTAAAAATTTTGAAAAAGAAAAAAAAAAAAGGAAAGTGCTAGATGAAAGCCTATGTACATTACAAATATTTGCAAGTATGCCTAGATTCTTCTGCAACCATGTAAAGACAAAGTGGATGAAGAAATGTAAAATGTTGCTATGTGGAGTGAAGAGATGGCTGAGTGCTTAAGAGCATTTGTTGCACTTGCAGTGATCAACGTTCAATTCCCAGCACCCATGTTAGACACCTCAGTCACCTGTAACTCCATTCCAGAGGATCAAATGCCCTCTTCTGGCCTCCATAGGCACCTGCACTCTCACAGACATACCCACATACATAGTTAAAAATAATCTTTTTTTAAGTGGTTGCTTCAACTTCACAGTCTTTTAAGTATCTAATAATCACCTCTATGAACAATCAGAAAACTTGTGTTATAATTCTAATTTATTACATTGAACATTAACACAAAAGACAACATCAGAGAACAAAGAGGTATCCTAATGCTGGGATTAAAGGCGTGCACCACCGTGTGTATGAGTGTGTTGTATGTAAGTGCACCCATGTTGTGCAATGCCAGTGGAGGACAAAAGGTGTTGGATCCCCTGGAACTGGAGTTATGCACCTTCGTAGCTACCATGTGGGTGCTGGGAATTGAACCCAGGTCCTCTGCAAGAGCAGTCAGTGCTCTTAACCACTGAGCCATCTCTCCAGCCCCATTATTTATATTTTTATTTTATGTGTATGAGTGTATTGTGTGCATGTAGGTAAGTGCACCCATATCATGCAATGCCCAAGGGGGACAGAAGAGATTGTTGGATCCCCTAGAACTAGAGTTATGGACAGTTGTTAGCGGCCATGTGGCTGCTGGGATTCGAACCTGGGTCTTCTGCATGAACAGCCAGTGTTCTTAACCACTGAGCCATCTCTCCAGCCCCACAAGTTTTTGAAGTATGAATTAGCATCCTATGATGTCATTGAAAGACTGTCACTGAATGCTCACCATTGGACTAGTTTCTAAGCAATGGAATTACATAATAAAGGAGGCAAACAAAAGAAAAAAAAATCCCTGCCCTTACTCATTTACACATTAGTGGGAAGGAAAATATAAAAATATGTATAATAAGTAAATTAAATTGCATGTTAGGAACTAAGTACGATAAAGAAAAAAAAACATCAGGATAAGGAAATGGAAATGGGTACAGAAGCTGAAGACCTCAATGAAAGTGACAACCAGGAAAACTTTCAAAAGAAATGAATTAGGAACTCATCAGGAGAAAACTGTCCCAGTTCCATCTTTATCCACAAACTGGTGCAAAGGCACCAAGGCAGGAATGTGCCTTACCTTACAAAACAAATAGAGTGAGTTGGCTTGAGAATGAGCAGAGGAAGAATCGCAGGTACCAGGATAGAGGTGAGAGGTTAAGGGGGAGGAGGGTGGCAGTCGGTGAATCTTACAGTGTAGGGTAAACCAAAGTATATAAGCCATGCAAGGCTTCTGCTGTGGTAACAGACTGCCACCAGCATTATTCACAGTAGCTAAAAGGTGGAAACAGCTGAAGCAGATGAATGAGTAAACAAATATGGCATACATATACAAGGAATATTATACATATTCAAAGGAATAAAGTATGTCTGTACTAAGAGCTTATAAAAGATGAACAAAAATCATTATCTACAAAAAGAAAGCTTATTTATTTGGTTATAATAATTTGGTTATGTGAAAAGACGACAAAGTAGGAAATGTATACTTTTTGATGGGCCAAGTCTGTTTTACGATGACTCTCTCTAAAATAAAGGATTCTTCATTTTCAAGTGAGCAAGATAGGCACAAAATAATTGGAAATGAAAAACAAAAAACAAAAACTCAAGGATGTTTGTTGAATAAAGAAAGGTTATGCTAAAAAAAAAAAAAAAAAAAATTAGTGGGAAGGAAGAGAGAACTAGGCAAAGCCAGATCCAATTTAGAGTACTCTAAGTCAGAAAGAGAACAGGAATTCAGACTAGTAGACTAGTGGACCAAAAGGACAAGGAGTCAGAGAAACAGGTTCAGGTGAAGGGAAAAACAAGAAGCCAGGACAGATACCAGGTGGTCAGGAACAGTTATGAGGTTTTTTAAAAAAAAAACTTGAACAGGACTGGAAAGACACTCAGTGTTTAAGAGCACTGACTGCTCTTGCAGAAGACCCAGGTTCAAATCCCAGCATCCACATGACAGCTAACAACTGTCCGTAACTCCAGCTCCAGATCTGACGCCCTCTTCTGTTCTCCATGGGCACTGCATGACACAGGTACACTAACATACAGGCAATACACTCATACACATAAAATACAAAAATTACATTAAAAAAAAAATCCTTGAACAAATAGGATGAAGCTGGAGACACAATAAGACTTAGATCAATGAAACTAAAATAAAAGCAAAAGGCAATGGGGAGTTCATAAAAATGAAGTTCTAGGGGCTGGCCAGCGACAGAGGAAAGGAGTCGCCACCTCCTTCACACAGGAAGCCCTGATGTGACTGGAGCACCTGAACAAAGAGAGGAGGCTCTTCTGTGGCCCTCAGAGTCAGTCAATGTTTGTCAACTCTGTTTACATTTTCTATACTTCCTCTTAAATTTCCTGGCTTTAATGTAACAGTATTCACTGTTTAGCTAAGTTCAAAGTACTTTGCATGACTAACAATTTTAGCACTCTGAGAAACAGAAAGGATATATTTAGTAAATATAAATAAGAGCAAAAACTTGAAGAATTTCTAATTGTTTATATAATAAGGAATATAATTATTTGACATTTAAAAAATTTTTATTTTATGTGTATGAGTTATGCCTGCATGTATGTAAGTGCACCTATGTCATGCAGTGCCCATGGAGGACAGAAGAGGACGTCAGATCTCCTGGAACTGGAGTTATGGACAGTTGTTAGCCGCCATGGGGTGCTAGGATTTGAACCCAGGTCTTCTGTAAGAACGGCCAGTGCTCTTAACTGTTGAGCCATTTCTCTAGCCCCATTTGACTTTTTTTATATTTTATGTGCATGAGTATTTTGCCTCAATGTATGTAAGCACATCAATGTTGTGCAATGCCCAGAGGCTGGAAGAAGGCGCTTGGATCCCCTGGAACTGAATTATAGACAGCTGTTAGCTGCCATGTGGGTGTTGGGAATTGAACCCAGGTCTTCTGCAAGAGTAGCCAGTGCTCTTAACTGCTGAGTCATCTCTCCAGCCCTTAATTGTTAGATTTTTAAAAACTGTTATAATCTTAGACATAAAACACAGAAACAGAGAGTTGAGTTCTTACTCTAGAACTCTAGTCCTGTTCTAGAGTAAAACTATCCAATATAGTCACAAGTGGCTATTTAAAATATAACTAATTAAAATTAAGTAAAATTCAAAATGGAGTTCATCATCTATACTAGCCCCATTTTCTATGTTCGATACCCATACCTGGCTAGTGAGCAACCACAGAACACTCCCATCATTTTACTGGGCAGTTCTATGGGGCAGTGCTAATTTAGAGAACAATAACTGGAACTGAAGGGAGAGTTTGCATGGCAGGAATTTGTTATGAATTTTCAAGATTTCCATCCAGCTTAGAACCATTTATAAAGTCACAATAGACACATAACCTAAACAGTACTCCTCAGATTTTGAAGAGACTTACAAATCACAGAAAACCAGTCAAAGATTTTCTTTTTAATGTGGCCTGTCATACCACCAGTTAATAAGGAAAACAGACAGAAGCAGCATCACTGTTTCCTTGGCTGAGATCGTAATCGGGGGTGGGTACCTGGTACCTGCAGGGCTACTGTGCTGCTCTTATGCTGGCTTTTTAAGAAGAGGGTAGGGCTGGTGAGGTGGCTCTGTGGTAAAGGTACTTGTTGCCAAGTCTGATGGCCTAAGCCCATATGGTAGAAGGAGAGAACGGATTCCCCAAGTTATACCCCTTGACCACCACACAAAGGCCGTGCCATGTGCGCCACCCCCAAAATACACAAAGTAAGTGAATAAAATTTAACAAGAAAAAGAATATGAATTTGCATTCTGTTTATATGGGTGTAACTCTTCCTGCATTAACAAAAACACCCAACCCCTAAGATTTTTAGTTTAAGAAGAATAAAGTGATATTTACATGTTTAAATGTTCATTATACATGGTAATTCAAATTAGATATATCTTCTTTTCATGGACCTTATTTGTAAAAAACCACTTTTTTAAAAAGATTTATTTATGTGTATAAATATTCATTACACACAGTAATTCCAATTAGATATATCTTCTTGTCATCAACTTTATTTGTAAAATACAATCTTAAGATTTATTTATTTACCTATGTGCATGTGTGCCTGAAAGAGTTTATGTGCATGTGTGTACAAGAGCCCAAAGGGGCCAGAAAAGGGTGTGGGATTCCCTGGAACTGGAATTACAGGCAGTTTTGAGTCACCATGTGATTGCTGGGAACCAAACCTGGGTCCTCTGTGAGAGTGGTAAGTGCTCTTAACTGCTGAGCCCCAGCCTCATAAAACAAATTTTGATTTTGATACAGTAGTAATCCCTGAAATTTTAAAGCCCACCAATTAAGAAAAATAGATTTGTATATGGCCCAAAGATTTAGTTTCAAAAGAATCTGTACAGATTCAGAGACTAATCAAACCTTAAGGATAATGATTTAAGCTTTTATATGAACATTTTAAAACTTACTTCAAAACTAAGATCTCTGATCAAGACATCTCCATTTGGTGTTGCTAAAGGAACATGATCAAACCTAAAGAGAAAATTAATTAAAAAAAAAACAGAAATTAAAAACACTTAATAAGCTCATACAACCCAATATCAAAAATACAAATAACCCAATCAATATACAAGCAAAAGACCTAAATCGACACTCCATAAAAGAATAAACTCAGATGGTCAAACAAGCATTTGAAAAGATCTTTAACCCCAGAGACATGCAAATTCCATCCTACACACGGTTGCTAAAAATGTAAATACAGCAGCTAAAGGAAAATAGTAGGAAGCTCCTCAAAAACACTAAAGATTTAACTCGCACAAGTTCTCTACATTGGAGAAGTAGTTCCAATTCCAAGTAGGGACCCAAAGGAAATAAAATCATCATCTCAAATAGAAATCTGCACTCCCATGTTCGCTGCAGTATATTCAAAAAACCATGAAAATGTTCTTAACGTATCTCAGCTGAGGAAAGGATAAAGAATACACATACACACACACACACACACACACACACACACACACACGAACAAATACACACAAACAGAGTATTATTCAGCCTTAAAAAAAATGAATCTGGGGGGATGGAGAGAAGGCTCAGCAGTTAACGGTACTTGCTGTTCTTATAGAGGACCTGGGTTCAGTTCCTAGCACCCACATCAGGTGGCTCACAACCACCTATAAGTCTAGTTTCAGGGGATTCAACACTGTCTTCTAGCCTCCACAGGCACCAAACAGACAAGCAGGCACACACACATACACACAAATAAAAATAAGTAAACTTTAAAAAAAAAAAATTTTTTTGAAAAAAATTTTTTCATCAATTTTTTTATGTGTATGAGTCTTTCACTTGCATATATGTAAGTGCACTTGTGTCCAGCAATGCCCACAGAGGCCAGAAGAAGGCATTAGATCCCCTGGAACTTAGGTTACTGATAGTTGTTAGCTGCCATGTGGGTGCTGGGAACCAAACCCAAGTTTAGTTCTCTGTAAGATCAGCCAGTGCTCTTAATCACTGAGCATCTCTCTAGTCCCCAGAAATTAATTTTTTTTATAAAAACTTAAAAATCTGTCATTTTTTAGAGATGAAGAACATTACAATAAGTTAAATAATATAGAAACATCTTATGTGATCATGTATGTGGAATCTAGAACAGTTAAGTTCATTGAAGCAGAGTATGATGGTAACTGCCAGGGACTGAGGGAAAGTGAATGGAGGTGACAGTGCTCAGAGTATATAAAGGTCTGATCATGATGGAAGATGAATTAAGTTCTAATGTGACTTAGGGACAATGGTTAAAAATAATGCAATACATCATGAAACTTGCTAAGAGAGGTCTTAAATTCACATCATATA